ATGAATTCATGAACTTTAGGTTCATTGTTGCATATGTTTCAATTACTCGTAATTTGTATAATACAATCCAGAAGATAAAGCAGACAGCTTTTCTAGTATACATTTTCCATGTGAGACAGTAGATATAATATAGAGATACTCAATATTATTCTTTTTATCAGTCTCAATATGATAACCATTGCAACGTATAACTTTAAAACTTAGCAGATTTCTTTTTTATTTACTAGAGAACAATGCATTATCAATTGCAAATTTTATTCATCTAGGAAAAATAATATTTCCTTTCCCTAAACCTTCAATCAAGCTTGCAGAGCCTGATATCATATTGACTTTTGCTTCCAGCATTGTTAATTTTGAAAAATATTTTCTACTTTTCAATATTGTGTGCATAGTTGCACTATCTGCCAAACATATATCTTCATTATTCATTCTCTCGTTCGAAGAATTCATCATCTCTTCAGGAGATTTAAAAACATTTGTAACATCCAGATATTTCATATTTAGAGGGTAAAAGACTTATTATCTTGGTATATATGCAAAGTTTGTTTCCAAACATTCTTCCTCTTTTTCTTTAATGAGGTTTTAAAAGTTGCACTATAAACTTGGATATACAACCGGTACAAGAGTAATGCCCATTTATATCATTCACTTCAGGGAATGATTTTTTAATACTTTCATGATCTCAACATTTGCCACAATGATCAATTACTACCATATTCATTTCAAAGAATAATGGTTTGGTGAGATTCATGAATTTTCATAAAACAACTGGTTTATTTCTTCAATCACAAGAAGACATGATACAAATCAATTTGTGATATGCATTTCATGTCATCTTTCTTGATATTGCTACTTTAGGAGCATATATCATATATGAATGTTTTCTTTGACATGTGCTCATTACTTTAAAATCACTAATCACTTGTTGATTTTAAGTTTTACAACTTCAGTGCATTCAATCAAATTGAGCATTTGTTGTTTCAAAATCATGCAACTTCAGGTGCATATTGATCAAACTTTGCCTTCAAACATATATACCCAATACGAATCTTCAGGATTCATGGCATTCACATGGATTTCATCCATGACAATTATTTTGACAATTAATGTCATAACTCTACCACTTTGTCATTGGTAAAACTTTCACAAATATATATTAAATATTTAAAACAAAATATAATTTACTAAATATCAAAACAAATAACGTACCTTTCGAACCTACCTTTAGGCGCCATACAAAAATAGCATAGGCTCGTGTTGATAACGCGTTGTGAAATTGAGAGACAAAACAACATACTTAAAACAATAATATAAGAAAATTATAAAGTAGAGATAAAAAAAATAATGGTGAGAGTTCTTTGTTCTTTTTCACCCTTAGGGGTTGTTTGTTATTCGGGGATGTAGATGCCCGGCATTTCAGATGCCTGGAATTTTATATGTCCAACATCTTCAGATAGCCATGTTTGTTTCGTAGGAAAATTTATTAAGGATGTCCGGGAATATTTGAATAGATACGTTTGTTTTGTAGGATTTGTTCTGGGAAATGTGTTAAATTTATAGAATGTTACAAAAATGTCATCACGATTACTCATATAATTTATAAATTCATTTAATATAATAGATTTATTTGAATTAATTTAATATTTTGTTCTTTTATATGTTGTCTTGTAGAGCAAATTAATTTCTATTAATTCAATATATATTTCATTTTCAACTTTAATATTTTTCCAAAAAGGCAATCATATAATTGGTATTACCTTGGGTAAGATCATCATATTATTTTTTTTAAGAGGAAAAATATCATAGATATATTGGTTGTAAAAAAAGTTATTGCTTTAAAATTATATATTTATGATAATAAATATTATTAATAATATAATTCCTTCAAAATATTAAAAATAAATCAAGATATTATATAATTTAATTGCAGTTAATTTTATACGTAAATGTAATGTACAAATATACTTAATTGCATAAAATTGATTATTAGACAATGAATCCATTAATTTATTTAAATTATAAATTTAAAAATAAAATAAAAACTTTTTTGAGGAAAAATAAAGAAAATATATGAAAAAAATGAAGGGCAAAAATATAAAAAACGGATGCCCTCAATACACGAATCTTGGATACCCACATTTCAAAAGAGCATCCAAAACTCGTTAGATGCCTCCCGTACGGGCATCTTAGGATACTCGGACATCTTCATACATTCCCCGCAAAACAGACGTGGAAATCCAGATGCACATTCAATGGAAATCTTGGATTCCCAGATTTTTAGAGGTGGCATGAACTTAATGGCGAACGAAATACTCCTCGATGAACAAGGAAAATAAGATGGGCATTTAATATTTGATTTATTATTTATAATATAATTCAAATTTTTGCTACAATAATTGAATTGGACAACTTATACGACAAATAAGGACAACAAAATAATGCATTAAAAAAGTAAGAAAAGAGCCTACACGTGAAAATAGTGTGAAAGTGAAAACATAGTTTAAGATTCTTTCTTATCTTTGTTGTCAATATCAAGCAATGGACCAGATTTGATCAACCTAATCCCAAGCCACGTTTTTTAACCTTTGAACTCAATTTGATGTAACAATAATTTTTACTCCTAAACTTTTTGTTTCATCAATTCGTAGGTTTATTTTCAATAACTATTACAACCCCTACCACAAATTTTAAAAATTATTGCAATTTATATCTTCTAATAATTTTTTTTTATTTTGCTGGAAAATATATTCTTATATGTATCAAATGAATCATAAAACATGTATTTTGTATAAAATTTATAAGATATTGACAAAAATGATACTAAAGCTTATTTTATTTTTTCTTGAAATTGGCATGTTTTTACGATATCTAGTCATAGATATTGTACTGTATTTTCAAAACTTAATTTTTATAAAATTAGTAAATTTTTTTGGAATTTTTTACATTTTTTTGGTTAAAATTATTGACTAAATTAACAGAATTTGAATAGGGTGTAGAAATTGTAACTCTCATCTAAGTTTAGGGTTTAACTTAAAAATATTCAAAGTTTAGATGAAACTCGTTATTATTATTATCATCTTGAATGGATAAAAATCCAAATAATTGAGTGGCAGATATTTATTAAAAGGACAAAATTAGCACCAATAATTGGCATGAGCATAGCTACAAAAATGGTCGAAATCGATCCGATTGAAGGCTCAACGACCGATGGCCACCACGTGGTTCTGGCAGGAACTTCATCTTCAAAATTAAGCCACTATTAAATATTTGGTTCAATTATAAATCCAGTTAGGAAACACGTTTTTTTTTTTATCTAAACGCACTAAAATCTAATATTTAATATTGTAACCGCCTCTGAAATTTAAAATTTTTAACTCAAATAGTCATATATGTGTATCGGACATCATCACATTGGATGATTAGATAGGGTTGACACAATGGTGATAGAGAATGGATATCAGTAAAGTCGGACAGAAAAGTAACGTCCTAAAAGAAAAAGAAAATGGCTGCTTTAGAGCTTTCGAACTTCAAAAAGACAGACAAAAAAGAAAAAAAGAAATATGATTAAGAATGAAAAAGAGAGGAAGGAGTTGTATAGAGTATGAATTATGGAAGGAGAAGATGAAGAAGAGAGGAAACTAAAGAGAAGTAATGGTTGTATTAAGTATTTCTTGTGAATGACATATGACAAATTTGTATTATTTTTTCATGATCTACAAATGATACTTTTTCTCCTTTGTTCTTTAATCCTAGTAGTTTCAAGTAAATTTTTATTAAAATATTGAATAAGTTTGTTTTTTTCTTTATTAAATATTAAATAGTTTGGTCCATATCTCCATATTTTAATAAAATTAAGTATTTCATTTTTCTAATCAATAATGACTATAGGCAATATTATACAATTGTGGAGATCATATTTAGTATCCCGTTGTCCCTAAATAAAATCTACTTTTGAAATATGCACGTCAACATATATRTTAAGATGTCCAAGCATGACATGTCTTGTACATTTTTGAAAATTGGCGTGTAGTTGTGTCCGTATTCTATACTTCTTAAACCTGGATCTTAATATCTAACAATTTAGGGTCCGTTTGGTAACGTTCTCATTTCTTGTTACTCGTTTTCAATTTTATTACGAAATCTAAATTTTTGACAAACTATTTATGTTTCTTGTTTCTCAAAGTTTAGAAAAACAATCTCAAAACTCTATAGAAATTTTGAAAATAACAAAAACAAGTTTCTTGTTCTCATTTCCAATTTGTTCCAACATAAATAAATATTTCGTTTTATCATTCTTGAATCAATAGATGTTGAGAGCCATACAATTCTATTTTTCTTTATAAAAAATAAGGAACAAAACAAACGAGGAACGTTACCAATCGCGAGCTAGTTTCTCGTCCAACTCCCTAGAGCATAATAATGCAGTGGACCCAACACCATACCGGTGCAAGATTTTTCTAATAGAACTAAATTTATAATTAAACCAAAATTTGAAGAGTACAAACCATCCTTCCTCTCAATAAAAAGGGGTGTCAATGAAGCACTTTAGTTGAGGCAGCAATTCAGTGAAAACAGTAAGAGAAGAAGAAGAGAGGAGGAGAGAAGAGATGGCTTTGTGTGCGGCTCAGAAGTTCCACATTCCGGCGTCCGACGCCGCTGCACCGCGCGCCAAGGCGCTGTCAGCCGGCGCCGCCGTGTGGGGGCGGCCGTCATCAGTTTCAACCGCTTCAAACCGCCAAATGTCGTTCAAATGCCTTGCCGTTGCCAGGACTGCACGTACGATCCCTTTTCTCCTTGGATTTCTGCTTGGTTTATGAGAAAATTGAAACAGAACGTACGGATCCTTAACCTTACTTCATGTTCACCATTGTTCTTTGCTCTAATTTAGGCCCCGCTTACTTGAAGGAAATAAGAATTAAGGAATAAAACAAAATGTAATTGTTGGAATGGATCCACCTCAATAATCACTCAGTCTAGTTACATTTTTCTCTTACCAGCTGATTTATCATATTGTCATTCTTTATTATTTACGTTACAATTTTTCTTTGTGTCTTATAGATCAATAACTTTTTAATTAATTGGTATGTGACTAAAGCGAGCATAGCTCAGCAATAATTTATATATATTCAAACTAAGAGATCGTGAGTTTGAATCATTTCTCCAACAATAGTAACCCAAATAGTATTTTTACAAATTCAATTTTATGTCTAATCAAATTGGTTAATTAATTTAAGAAAAAAATGTTGAATAACAAAATATTTCAAAAGATCCATTAAAGGAATGAGTCACACCGTACCTTTTTTACTAGACTTTGTTACTTAGGCAAAAGAGAATGAAGAATGTCTTTAGGTCAACTTTAACTCACGGATCCATTAGAAATAAAATTCAAACTGGACCAATTAAAAATTAAATTCAAACTTTAGTGACAAAAATTATGGTTTTTTAAACCTGTGGATCAAATAGAAACTAAGTCCAAACGTGAAGGATTAAAATTTTATTTTAGCCTACTAAAGCTGTTGCTAAGATTAACACTTGATTTGGAATTATTCTGACTACTAAAATAATTGATGTTAACTACATTTTCAAAAGAAGTAAATTAGTATATTATTTAGTAAATTAATACTCAATTGGTGTGATTTAGTTATAACGACCAAAATAAATATAATATTTCAATTATGCATAATTCTAAACTTTCGTTCTAAGATAATTATTTAAATTTTTATAAAAATTACAAATTATATACTAAATTATTTGATAAAATATTAAGAAAAACAGTTGTTATAGAAAAAGTTGTATCGAATAAAATGTTATTTCTATTTAGGAAAAATTTAATTTAATTTAACTACATTTAACTAAAGATTCCTTGACGGGAAAAATCTCCGAATTAACGTGGAAAAACTCCAAACCGGATAAAAAACCACGACCCACAAGGAAAAAACAAATACTGCTCAATTAACTAGAGCTAGTATACTAGGCTTAAATATTTCAATTGGGATGATTAAAACTCAAACCCATGAGCTCCTTTTATAGTAGTTGGAACACATCTCGTCCTTGTACTTTTCCGATGTGGGACAACTTCTAGCACATGGAAACAATCCTTGGACAACTTCAATTCCAATATTTTACCAAAATCCAATAAAGATGGGATATCTGTGTCTAATTACTTGTGTGCTTTTTCTATTAAAAAATATCGAGTAGGAAAAATGTTGAATTGGCATCAATTAATCGAGATTTCCTTGGCTTCTTCATCTTAACGAGAAAGTTAAATGAGATTGTTTTGAAACAATTCCAAAGGTTTGGGTTAAAATTAAACTCTTGAAATAATAAGGGTATAACTGACCGGACCCTACTATAAAGTTCAATGGTATAATTGAAACTTGTCGTACCTCACTTGACGGAAGAGTAACAGAAATCTTCACTTTAACAGAAAACTTTGATGGAAGAGCAATTTTGAAACCAATTTAAAGTTAAAAGGTAAAAATGAAAGTTTTGAAACTATTATTAAAATTTATCTTGAATCGTAGAGATATTTTGTTTAAACTAATATCTTACGCAAGTCGTAGGTTCGAACTCTCAGGTGTTTTTTTATGTTATAATGCAGACAGGGGAAATGATCTCAGATCATGTTGAAGACCAAGCTCATCAGGTATGTAATATTTCCATTAGATTATGTTGGTGATTTTATTATTATATACTTGTACCTCATTGATTTTACATAAAATTTCCTAAGCTTCAAAGGCATTGAAATTATTATGCAATATGCAGGCCCTAAAAAATGTTGGTGCAATATTAAAAGCTGGAGGTGCTGACTATACTTCAGTTGTTAGAACAACTATTATGTATGAACATTTTTCCCTCTTCCCTTGCTTTACAATTTCTCTTTTAATATATGAAATATGGTTTTATGCCTTGTTAAGATTAAAAAAAAAAAAAAATTGTAAATTTTATTTCAAGTGATTTACAGTTGTTCTTTCTTCACAATTCTTTGTTGCAGGTTGGCTGATATAGCAGACTTTGCCGTAGTAAATGAGATTTATGGTCAATGTAAGTTCTTTTGAAACTCAACCTCTTCCTATTGGTGTTATTTCATGGGTATGAATATCAAATATTCGAGATTTAAATGTTTAAGATATTAAATTATCCGTGTTTCATAGTAATTAATATCCAACAATTAACAGTAAGTTTAGTTGGTGATCTGAAAATATAAATGTGGAAATAAGGAATTTAAAAACCGATTGTATTTATATTTTTACTGTTTTGTTTGGTGGTAGATTTGAAAATTGAATCTCTATTTTAAAAATTGTTCTCGATTTAAAATATTACTAATTAATTTTTTTAACATATATATATGTTATAAATTTGTATAATTAATATTTTACAATATTATATAAACTAGAATATGTTATGTTACATATTTTTTTAATTTTAATAGGAGTGAAATGAGTTTATAATACGAAATAACATATTAATCAAAATTTTTATATTTTTTTAATGTAATTCTGCATTTTAAAGTTTCAATTTCAAAATAGTATAAACTTTACMAATTTTGTTTTGGTGCAGACTTTTCACACCATGCTCCTCCAGCTCGGTCGACATTTGCGGTGGGGGCATTGCCCAAAAATGCTAAGATCGAAATCGATGCAATTGCCGTGATTTAAATTTTAAACTATAGTCTAATTTCAAAGACCTAGTTTTCAAGATAACATTATAAATGTAATAAGTTGGAGAAGAACACCCCAAACTCAAATTTCATTTTGAATTTTGGTTGCTTTCTTGTCACAACATTATTGTAATCACTTTATCGCTCTCATCAGCATGCTTTTATTATTCGGGTAATAATGGTTTTTTTATTACAAGTGTGAATGGGAGATTCGAACTTATAACCTCTTGATTAGACATAGATGTTAATTACCGCCAAGCTAACGTTGATATCAAGTAACAAACACGTTTGGTATGAAAATTTTCAATATAATAGAGAATGAGACATTTAGGCCTTTTCCAAGAGAGTATTGTTTTTTAGTACTCTTTTCAAAACCTATATTTTCTAATGCTAGCTGACATCGTCCTGTCTCTCTCCTATTGCTCTTTCTCGCTCTCGCTTTCGTTCTCGATCTCTCCCTCTCACTCTAAAAATGGGTTGGTAACTAGGTGATGTTAGCAAAAATTCAGAAAATATTAGTGGAGGGGCAATGAAGTTATTTGATTTCTAAGTGATGTCAGCAAATGCTGAGAAAACTGTGTAGGAAGCCTTATCCGATTTTCCCTGAAAATTTGATGTCCATTGAAATGCTCAGTTTCTATCTAGCCGCCATGGGGTTATGGATGGGTGGATTTGACATTATACCAAGGAAGGATTTTATTCAGTGAGGAGTGGTTATAAGGTGGCTATGAGGCAACGCATTCTGTCATCCTCTTCAAGTGAAAACAACAAGGAGGCCGCATGGTGGAAGAAATTACAGAAGATTCAAGTCCTGCCTAAAATTAAAATTTTTCTTTGGAAAGTTTGTAATAATTGCATCCCTAATATGGTGAATTTAGGGAAGAAGGAATGGATGGATGCATTACCTTGGTGTCCGGTCTGCCTAAAGAAGGAAGAGTCGATTGATCATGCTCTTGTTGGGTGCAAAAGAGCAAAGGCGATCTAATCGTAGTTGAGTCTAACTCTTTGGAGGTTATTAAAATCCTTCAGGGAGCTTATTGGTTTGATGAAATTTCGTTCAACCACATCTTCAGAGAGTCCAACATAGTTGTACATTTTTTGGCAAAAGAATCAATTTCTGTGGAGCTTCCGTGTTTGTGATTGAATGATTTTCCAGTTAGTTGTTTTAGCCTTTATGGCAAGTTAGTCCTTTCTCCTACCCTCCACCACCTTTTTCTTTTCATATCACCCCATTTTGGCCTTTCATTTTCTTCTTACCCACTTAATTCATATAGTTTTATTATTATTATTAATATCGAAGAAGTGAAGATTCGAACTCACGACTTTTTTATTGAAGATAGATACCTTAAGCTAAGCTAAGGTTGGCATAGTTTGATAAACCTTTTTTACATCTTTGAATTGAAAAAAAAAAAAATTAATAAAAAACTGTCAACATTTGGTAGTGCAAGAAACATTTTGAAGAGATTTACTAAAATCACAAAAACCAATATTTAAACTCAGGGAGCAACTAAATTAGGAACAAATCACAAATCATAACCAAAATGGTAATTTAGCAAAAATTTAACCCTTCTTAAAACCTTGATGTTTGATGCATTTGGCAAACACCAGATCCCACCCCATCAAACCAATTTATCACCCCAACCAAGATTCCACAAAAGCTGTTATCTCCACATTTGGTAATATCAGTTAAAATCACAGTTGAAGTGATGTCTTTGAAAACCAATTTAAATTGATTTTAAATTTTTCTAAAATCAATTTTTTAATTTGCCAAACATGATCAACGAAAATCGGGTGATTTTGGTCATGCCGCCAGAATCACTCCAACTATAGAGCAGTCACCTTACCCTGTCAACTACAAATCATTCTATTTCTATTTCCACCATCTTAAACCTGAAATTTTCAGAAGGCCCATTCTACACAGCAAAATTATAAATACAAAGATGAGAATGAACATGACATCAATCATCCACATGAATTCCATTTCTTTCCCCACCTCATGAAGGCCCCCTCCATGGCTGGCTTCTAATTTCTAACAGATACTAAGACTACATTACTTTAATCACTAATGGATTCCAGTGAAGTTAACTGAACAGAAAATTGAATCATACGAGCGTACCTAGGAATCGCCAGAAGCCAGTTCAAAGCTCCCTTTGTAGAATATGAGCATCTTCTATTAACAGAAATTGAATTAATAACACCCCTAGATCTTCTGCTTCAGGACCTGGCGCAATTGGACCTTATGGCTTTCCATCCTTGCTTCTAACAGCTTTGCCTTTAAACTGCCCTTGAGCGTGTTGCGGGGGATGCATCCTTTCTTCCCTCGCGTTGTATGAGCATTGCCTGAGTCGGGAGAGCTCCATTGTCCTGCTAATTCTGGAGGACTTATTCCGCTTCTCACTGAACCCCCGTCTGCAGATAAGATACTTGCACTTGATAATCTTCCATTTGAGAGCCTCCCATTTATGCCCTCGAGCGAGATTAGTTTGTACCCTTCGTTGTTCGAGCATGATTTCCAAAGCCGTGCAATGGATGATATCTTCTTTAACTGCTTTGATGGAACTGAGCAGACTTCGCTGATTGGCGAGTCTCCACCTCCATTTCCTTCCCATTCTGTCCCGCTCACCGAAGCATTACTCTCTCGATGATTCTTCTTGACACATGCAATACTCTCTTCTGGGGAATTGCTTGAGCCCTGATCCTCTAGATGACTCACAGTTTCCCACCCACTCTCATCTTCTTCTATATCACCGTTATGAGCAATATATGAATTGGAATGCCTCTGGATGGCAATCCTATTAGTCACTGTAGCTTCGAGACTCGTGGTTTGGACTTTGGAAGCATGGCTAGCAGGGCTGTAACCAACACACTGTGAAATTTCCCTCTCATTTGATTCTCCAAAATTAACATCTTCAAACACAGAGAAGATATCATCCGGGTTTGAAGGTTCATAAACAAATTCCGTGACATCTTGAATATTCACAGAAGCAGCAGCCTCTCTAAGTAGCAGTGCTTTTTTCATCTCTGACACATCTGGAGTTGCACTCCTCGACCTCAAGAAGTCTTCAAGATCGGCTACTAGATTACGCATCTGTGAGTATTTTTCTTCAAGTGCCACCTTGGCATCGACTAGCTTCATTTGAACACGTTCCTCACGCCAGACCTCAGCCATCTGTAACATTCTCCGTTCTTCTTCCACTTCCTCTCTCAACTTCATGGATTCTCTCTTCAAAGCATCTATTTTTGCCTTGTCTTCACCAATTTCCTTTGCTAGTTCATCACATACTTCCTCAACCAAGGATCTTTCTTTCCTTTCTTTTTCATAGTCTTGCATAAACCGCTTTGCAGATAGCTTAGCATCAGCCAACTCATTAACCAGTTTTGAATTGATAATTTCCACCCGTTGTCGGGTTTTCTTTTCTCTGTTCAACTCGGCCGTTATATCATCAATAAATGCCCTTACTTTCTCATGCTCTCTGCTCCGCCACAAAGCTTTTTCTTCACCAACTTTCCTCCAGAAGTATTCAAGCTTCTTTTTTGAGGCATTACGCTCAGCTTGAAGTTCCTCAATCCGAAAGTGGGCCTGCTCTAATTCTGATTCAAGTGCAGACATGGCCGAAACAGCACCAACTTGTTGGTCAAGGAGCCTCACTTGGTTGTAAATCTGACGTGCCTCGACTGGTGTTTTCACGAACGCAGGTTCCCACTTTGTTGCCCCCTCCATTGCTGAGTTTGAATATCGAAACGAGGGCTCAAACTGGAAGTGCAAACAATAAGTTTATCAAACAGGATTACAAAGTCACCAAGTGAATATAAAAAAGACATGAACAGAGTAAGTACTATGTAGAAAATCTTATCTATTATCACTATTATTGTGATAAGAACATCTTATGCGTTATTAGTTACTAATAAATTTCATTCATCCTTAACTAAAATTTAAAGAAAGTGAACATGCAAATGACATAGAAGGGATTTACTACAAAGGTAGAAAGTCTTCTATGCAATATATTAACACGCCTAGTGAATCTGGTTTGTTAAGTTCACAAACTGACAAAGATATCCAGTTTCTCTCATGCTATCTAATGGAAGCCAAAATATTAGAATTATTTTTATCAAGTGTCAAACCTTGCACAATAGTCCATTTCTTGAATCAGAGACAAAATGCGGACCATGCAATAGATCATTTGCTTCAGAATCAAATGCTATCTTATCATCACGAGGGAGAACCGGAGCGTCAAACTGACCAGTGTGAGGCTGAAAGGAAAAGTTTCAAAGAAAAATAAATAAATATAGTTGAGGGCTAAAATCGCAATTGAATTATTGAAGTTTGATTTGGTTCAACCACAAGGTCAAATAGGAAATTAGGACTACATACCCAAACTTTTGCAGCAAACAATAATATCTGTCCTAGGCAACCAATCAAGAGTTGGATAAAATATGTCATTGACATCCATGCATCCATCCACAGTATCTGGTGTGCTGATTAATCTAATTGCTAGACTTCACATTGTTTCAAGCAGCACAAGTAATTTAGCCAACTTGAGTTAGGGTTTCGCCCCCAATTAAGACGAAAGCCAAGCCAAAGAAAGCATAAAATTTCCAAATGCATACAGAGGATTCAAGTTTGCATAAAGAGAGTATTAGATTCATCATTACCAAAAACCCTAGAAGAAGACATGGAGATGGGCATCTCGAGAATCAACTTATTTTATAAGACACAATCCAGGACATTTCATTAAAACAATGAAATATCCAAAAACAGAGGGAGGAAAGCCTCAACCCACAGCTAAGGAAGATGAGTATAAAGCCCTACAATTAGCCTCTAATTTAAAATTTAATACTATGGTGTTCATCTGAAATACGGAAAACTTCTTTACAGAATCAACTCTGAAAGCCATATTTCCACTGTAATTAATGTTTGCCCGTTACGAAAAAGATTCGTGACTAAATTCACTGTGCAGATCAGAAAGAAAGCTTAAACAAACAGCAGCAGCGAGGATCAAAGTCATATTCAAATTAAAAGCAGCAGCACCATCCCAAAGAATCAAACTCCAATTCGCTACAAATTACTACAGCTTCAACTCCACCAATCCAATCGGATCAAAACTTTCGATGCAGAACCTAAACGAACTTCTCAGATCTGTGAAAGCGACAAAAGCAAGCGAAAAATACCTGAAACCCTAGGAGGTCCTCCCTCCTACGCAGGCCATTCCTCCCTTCACTAGCGACTGCCTCCTGCAGTTGCAATCTCCAGATTCCAGCGGCGAGCTTCCTCGCCGAAACAACGGCCTC